GGTATTTTCGAAATTGGACCTGTAACGAAGAAGACGATGAATAATATCAATTAAATGTAAGAACCTTTTTAAATAAAAGTCAATTAAATCAATTTTAACTCTGTCAAAGTCAAACACCCAAAAATATGATGTCAAGAAAAGTATTACAAATAAATATAAAAATTATATCGTTGAATAGAGTTTAACTGTCTGATCGCAACGGTGCAAACGGATTTCAATTCAGAGAAAGTTGGACAAAAAAATTATACCCCCACTGGAACAAAAAATTGTCCCAATCAGGGACTTGCGTTAAAAATCCTTAGGAGCTGCAGCCCCCTCCACTAAGATGCTAAAATAGGAGAACAGAGGTCATCCCTTGTCCTCTTACTCTTCTCTTCTCTTATACAAAGAACCCAATTCTCCCATTTCTTTACCAATCCTTCCAAAGTTAGTATCATTGTGTTCCATGTTGAGTTGAGAGTTCATTGGTGCTGTCAATTTGGTGTGAAGTTGCGATAGCTAGCCACAATCCTCGCTGGAAGTTTCGCCAAAAACACTCAAAACCTTGTGTTCCATGTTGAGTTGAGAGTTCATTGGTGCTGTCAATTTGGTGTGAAGTTGCGATAGCTAGCCACAATCCTCGCTGGAAGTTTCGCCAAAAACACTCAAAACCTTTGTTGAGCTTCGGGGTAAGCCCGTAGGTGTATCTAGTGACTAGAATGTTCCTATAGATCGTTTCTATGTTCATAAACGGTCGTTTGGTTGAGTTTTGTGTTTGACATACTTGAAGAACCAAGAATCATAAACCTTGAAATTGTTGTTAAAACTATGAATTAATGATACTAAAATGATCTATGAACCTTGGAGAACATTTCTATGTAGTTTAATTGAAGTTTGGTGACTAAAAAAGGTATTTTCGAAATTGGACCCGAACGAAGAAGAAGATGAATAGTGATCGAAAAACCAGCAGGGTGGAACGATCCACCCCACTAGATTGATCCTCTGGCATGTTTTTCGATCTCTAGAATGGATCAATGTAATCCACTGGATCGATCCCCTGAAATTTTGCTCCGAAAATGCTATTTTTGAGATATGTTTTCAAATTCATGAAAGAAATTTGAATAGGACAAGAAGTATATGAGACGCCACTCGAACATCAGCACCCACGAATACCAATTAATACAATTGAGAAATACCGTGAAGTGAACGAAGAAATGTTTCGATGATGACAAGCTACTGTATAACCAATCGACAGTACTTCCTCGTAAACGATGACAAATCCCATATCTTGAAATTATTGGACCACAAAAAGCCATTGATGTACTTACGAATCATTGTTGAACTATGTGAACGCTATGAAGATTACTCATGTAACTTGAGAAAGTTACGCTATAACGTATGAATTAAACAACCTCCAAATCTTCCCCTACATCTATCGCGAACCTGAAACTGCAAATTCTACTGAAGGACTTTGAAACAAAGGAAGAATATCGTTAATCGACGTTGTCCAATTGAGAATTGTGAATGAACAAAGTGATGTGCAAGTATGTCAAATATGCCTCAAAATACAATGTTATAGCCTGCAAAGCAATCTTGGTTATGAATGTTTCATCTGAATAGGAACCTACAAAAAGGATCGTTAGAAACCTTTCTTAATCTAAGATTGTTAACCTCTTGAAGAAAGAACGAGTTTGATAAGATCGATAGTTTGAGATTACGTATCCATGTGGATAATGACGTAATTATGGTTTAACCAAATAAACATAACACGGTCATGATTATCGTAAATACAACAAAATATCGATTTTAGAACTTCAAAAGAATTTCGAGGACGAAATTCCTTTTAAGGGGGGAAGAAATTTAACGCCCCAAAACATACCCTAGAATTATTAATAAATAATTAATCAATTAATCAAGTTGTTTTGATTAATAATAATAATAATAATAATAATAATAATAATAATAATAATAATAATAATAATAATAATAATAATAATAATAATAATAATAATAATAATAATAATAATAATAATAATAATAATAATAATAATAATAATAATAATAATAATAATAATAATAATAATAATAATAATAATAACTGTTTTTTGGCTTTGGGCCGAAATGAAATATGTTTTAATATCCAATATCAAAATCTGGATAAGTCTAATAGAGATAAATCCAATATGTTGACTTATTGTGCGACCTTAATTGGGAACCTAAGTACAAATTCAAATCAAGGATAAATGAAAAAGTTTGTTTATGATATGAACATTGAAATAATTTATTGAAATAAATCATGAGAATAAATTATATGAATGAAATGTAAGAACCTTTTTGAGTAAAGGTCAAATAAATTAATTTTGACTCTGTCAAAGTCAATCACCCAAAAAAATGATATCGGAAAAAGTACTACAGATAAATGTAAAAGTTATATCGTTGGATAGAGTTTTACTGTCCGATTGCAATTGTGCAAACAGATTTCAATTCGGAGAAAGTTGGACCAAAAAGTTTTCCCTGACTTCGACCAATTTAGTCCCAATCAGGGACTTATATTTGGAATTGTAGAGATAGGTCGTCCGCTCCACTGAGACGCCAAAACAAGAAAATGGAGGTCATCACTCATGTCTTCTTCCTCTGCTCTCCACTATATAAACCCCTCTAAACTCCACCATTCTTCACCATTCTTCTTCTTAGAGATAGCTGAGAGTATAGAGAGTGAAGTTGTGCTGTCCAGAGAGCTTCCCGTCGCCGGAGCAAGCCACAATCCTTCCCGAAAGATCTGCTGGAATATATTCAAAACATCCATTAAGCTTTGAGGTAAGCCCGTAGATATATCTAGTGACTGGAATGTTCGTATAGATCGTTTCTACGTTCATAAACGGTCGTTTGGTTGAGTTTTATGTTTGACATGCTTGAAGAACCAAGATTCATAAACCATGAAATTGTGGTTAAAAATATGAATTAATGATAGCAAAATGATCTATAAACCTTGGAGAACAATTCTACATAATTTAATTGAAGTTCGAGAACTAAAAATGATATTTTCGGAATTGGACCCGAAAATAAAAACGTTATGTGATGCATGACGGTAAGTTAGGGTGTTAATACCCGAAGTTAGGCCGCTAATTTTTATTGAATATTATGTTTATTATTTGATGATTATGATTATGATTATTGATTGATGATTATGATGATTAAAACTTGATGAATATTCTGATTAAAAATGATAGTTATGAATGAATCATAATGAACAGATTGACAATTGTAAAAATAATTTGTATTATTAAGGGTATCTAGAATAACTCTAAGATATACCTAAGTAATGGTGATTTTCAAAGGTATCTAGAAGACCTCTAAGATGTACCCATTTAAGTTAGGCCTTGCGGGTATGATACCAGGTGGCTAGGGTTAAAACGTATGCACGAGATCCAAGAACAAAACTTGAGTACCTACTCGTTTGGGGGTACCACCCACCCAACAGTGAACACTACGCTGTCGGTTTCTGGTTGGCCATAAGTGAAGGTAAGTTTAAGATATCGAAAACCTCTTAAACTAGGCCTAGCTCAAGGATTATATAGGAGTATCTTAAAATGGAATATACATTAATTATATTAAACTAGAATTCGTTTAAGGGTTGATAAGCATTAAAGTGATTGACCTTAGAGTAAGAGTAGTTTAAGGATATTGTTGAATGTTGGATGTTGAATATGAATGATATTGAAAATGAATAAATATTGAATGACGATTATGGAATATTGAATATTGTGAATATGATAAACGTGAAATGACTTGAATTAAATATTGTGAATATTATGAGTGACTGAATATTGTGAATATCATAAACGGACAATGTGCTATCATGAATATATATTTTTGCAATGTCCTTTGCCCATTGTCTTTTAGGTTTTGATAATGACAAAAGGGTGACAAAGCATCATCATCATATTGTGCATCAAGGCTATGAATTAAAGCTACAACAAGTTTATATCCGTCCGTGAAGAAGGGACTTGAGCATCGGTGGAAGGAACGAGACCGAAGAGGTTGTTTCCTTAGTTGGGTAGTGTTTTAGGTCTTAGATTATGTATTAAAGAGTATGGAATCTCTAAGGTTCATTCCCTTATCATCCTACGTATAAAACACATTTATATCAGCCTTTGTGTGGGGAAAGTGCCTTTCTATTCTAATAATCTTTAGTTTATTCGAATAAGTCGTGATCTTTCCTGTGACTGAAATTGACCTGTTTTATTCGAATAAATCCACCACTTGTTCGAATAAGTCCTGGTTTTTCAACCTGATTTATTCGAACAAATCACACATTTTTTCGAATAGGAACTGGTTTTTCAAGACACGCGATTGATCCAAACTATTCGAACAGTTCTTGAGTTATTCGAATAAGTCGACGGTTACAACTACCAAACGGCTAGTTTTTTAAATGCTTTTCATCCCTATCTACTCACTAACTTCTATAAACTACCTACTTTTGTGATTATCTTCAATAGAGCACTTAGAACACTTTGAAGAATATATCATTTGAATATCCAAAGAGATTCTACTCAATCACCTCCTTATATCCAAGCAAGGAAATTATTTTGATTGCTAAATCATTTCTTGCTTGAGTTTTTTCCTCATTGCTTGAGTCTTTGAGAGATATTGCCATATTCTAAAGGACTTCATTGTATTTGCATCAATCTACTCCGTGTTGGGAGAATTACTCGGTTGCGGTTTGTTTTCTTACTTTATTGTAAGGGATTTGTATTCTTGGTGTTGGGATTACACCAAGTGGTAGAAATCCTAACGGTTTGTGAAATCAAACATTAGGTTGAAGAAATCCTGAGTTTTGTGAAATCAAAACTTTGGTGGTAAGATAAGAGGCTTGTCAAATCAAGTTCTCGAGTTGTATTTGGATTGTCAAACTCCGTTAAGTTTGACGGGTTAGTGAAGGCCTGGGCATGATTGCTTCGGGGACTCGATGTAGGCATTTAGGCCAAACCAGTATATATCGTGTGTGCATTGCTCTTATTCTTCACTTTATTATGTTTGTGGTGCATTGTTTTTTATTGAATATTCGTGAAGAACGTTTCCGCGCAAAAAAAAAAAAATTGGTCTTTTGAGCAACACCTTTATTCACCCCCCCTCAAGAGGTGTGCGAGGCGTCTAACAAGTGGTATCAGAGCGAGGGAATTTCAAAGCTTTACTGCTGAAAATTTAAAAAGATCATGGCCGGAAGAACATTTCAACCCGGAGTTGCCGAAGGACAATCCACGACAAGGCCACCACTCTTCGACGGCACAAATTATGCTTATTGGAAAGAGAGGATGAGAATATTCATCCTATCAAATGATTATGATTCTTGGCTAGTGATCAAGAATGGAGAGACGGTTCCCATGAAGATTGTTAACGGGGTTCTTGTTCCAAAGTTAGAGACTGAATATACCTCAAATGACAAGAAGAAGATGCAACTAAATGCAAGGGCCATCAACTTTCTTTATTGTACCGTGAACCTGGATGACTATCGGAAAATCTCAAGGTGCAAGACGGCAAATGAGATGTGGAACAAGTTAGAGGTCACATATGAAGGAACAAGTCAAGTGAAGGACTCAAAGATCGACTTACTCACCATCGGTACCCATGAGTACGAGCTTTTCATGATTATGGAAAATGAAACAATAGATGGCATGTTCGAGAGATTCTCAACTGTCGTCTCAAATTTGGATACACTTGGGAAGCATTATGAGGATCATGTTCTCGTTCGAAAAATCCTTCGAAGTCTCACACCGGAATGGAAGTCTATAGTCAACCCTACCAAAGAAGGCCGAGATTACAATACATTGACATATGACGCACTTCGAGGTAAACTACTCACTTATGAAATGTCTAACTTTTCTAGTACAGCGGAGATCAAAAGGGATCAAAATCTATCATTCAAAGGAGTTGCACTCAAAGCTTCATCGTCAAAATATGTCGAGACAAGTGGCTCTGGAGAAAGTGACATTCTCGATTTATTTAATGACTTCTTGCAAAATGAGCTTGAGCAATTGAACGAGAGTACAAAGCCTACTTGCTATGGATGTGGAGAGCGTGGAAATATCAAGGGTCATTGCCCTAATCGAAAATTAAAGAAGTCCAAACGCCGAAAGCAATCCAACTCTAGCTCCACTTCCTCATCCGATGATGAAGTAGCCATTTGTCTTATGGCTCAAAGTGAATCCAAATTAGTTTTGAAGAACTACAAGAAGCATTTGGTGATTTATTTACAGAATTTAAGAAAGTCTCATCTATTGCCAAAGATTTCGAATATAAAATCACCCTTTTGCAAAAGAAAAATAATATTTTGCAAAAAGAAATTGATTCCCTCAAAATTGAAAATAAGACTTTTGAGGAGACTAATTTGAAATTAAATGATTCACCTTGTTCTTCATGTAAGTCTTCTAGTCTTGAGATAGAAGCGCTTAAGAAAGAGGTAGACGATTTGAAATTAGCTATGAAGAAAGTTGAAAATAAATTTAAACTAAAATCTACCTGTAGGATTAAATACTATAGATAACCTAGAAATAAACTAAGTCATTCTAGGAATTCTAAGTTTGATAGACAACCTAGAAAGCACATCACACGTCCTAGAAACATGAACAACCCTAGTGTTAGGTGTCATTATTGTAATAAAGTAGGACACATCACACCAGTTTGTTACACTAAGTATAGGCACTTGCTTCTAAGTCAAGATAATGTGATGCATCGTTCATATGATTTTTA